CATCCTATAGCTAAAGAAGGAAAGAGATGATGCTTCACAAAATAGGGAGAAAAAGATCTATTTCTTTTGAAATAAGAAAGGGAAATGAGAACAGATTGAAAATAGGGAGGGGCATATCTTAAGTAGAAATCTTAATAAAAGTTGCCTTTAAGGGCATTTTGAAAATGGGTCATTAATGCTCCCCAAAGCCATCTTTGATCTGTTCCTTTATGTATCTGCCTGCCTACCTACCTACCTACGTATCCATCTATCCATCCATCTCACGTGCTCTCACCTATTTCTCTGACCCACAAGGGAGTAAAGAGCAGGGGAAAGCAAATGACCTAGAGGATCCCCAGTGAAGCCAGGTTCAGTTTGTCCAGCGGCATGTCTGTGAGGCCAAGATCTTTCTGGCCAGATGCCCAGTGTGACCCACATCCCCACTTTTGTGTCAGTGATCCCCTTCCCAGCGCATGTGTCCTGGGTCAGCTTTGGGGGTTAAATGGAGATATGTGAAACCCCAGCCTCTCAGATGTGGTGTGCACCTTTGATAGGGGACCGGCGCTGGGGAAATGGTGTTCCTGGGCAGGGGAGGACCCAGGGAGAAAGATGGAGCAGCCTTCCTCCCTCCTGTGAGGGATGTTTTGAAGCTGTAGAAGTTAGCAGCAGGTAGGAGGGAAGCTGCTGAGGGGCAGTCCTAGGCCTGGGAGGTCACCAGGTGATGCTGGCTGCAGCTGTATTGAGGTGACTTGGTGAGACAATTGACAACAGTGAGGGAGCACCGTGCCTCTGCTTGGGAAGCTGAGGATATTTCTCCTCTCACCCGCTTAGTGTCCCACAGCTTGCTCTATCTGCCTCCAACCCTCCCTGCTCCCCAACCCGCCCCCTCAGGCTTGGAGAGACAAAAAAATAAAAAAATAAAAAGCTGCAGCTCCTCAAAAACGAAAAGCAGAGTCATCATCCTAATATTCAGAATGTGGACTGTTCCAGAGAGCAGCAAGATGTGTCAGGAATGAGAATGGCCTGAGACAGGGCCCAGGGAACATGCCTGGCTCCACTAGGGAGATGAAAGAATTTTCTCCTTCCTTTGCCTTTTAAATGTAATTCTGTCTGCCCTTCTCCCCCACACCCGCTCAACCCTCTCCCTGGAGCTGCGCACACTTAACCATCCTGGGAAGAGGCAGGATCCTTTTCATTAACTTCAGCCTGATTGAAGTCCCCAGAGCCGCAGCAGATTTCTTCCCCCTCCCTCCCTGTCGCCCTGCCGTGGGTCGCTCTCCACACAGCAGGGCTGCTCTGGGCAGTGAACTGCTTTCCAAAGGGAAGAATGAAGATGGAGTCTGGTAGGGGGCACAGTTTGGAGAAGGTCTGGATCTGTGCTTTTTATGTCAGTGGCTTTGTGGAGAGACAGGCTCGTCTCTGATTGCCTGTGCCTCAGTTTCCCCTGAACTTCTAAGCAGGTCTCTCCCACTTCCAGGACAGAGGCCAGCAGTCGGTTGTGTGAGGGTGTTAGGGTTGGACTGGATTGAGATGGTCACTAGTGGAGGTTTCTGTAGCCCTTTTCTTTCCTGAGTGCAGAATGTGTGACTATCTTGGAAATAATCAGTTGGAAAGGAGATTGTTCAAGAAGCAGAGCCTGTGTTTTGCCCAAGAGCTCATATATTTGGTTGGAGCATGGTTAGAACCCAGAGGCAGGAGGCGGGGATTTGGGGTTGATGGTGAGGAAAGGCAGACTTCTGCACACTATTCATTGAGAGAGGAGGTCACAAGACTTGCCTTTGGTTGTTTCCCAGGTCAGATAACACCTGAAAAACACACTAGATTGTGAGTAAATAGTTCAGGATCTACAAGGTAAGGAATTCAGAAGTTTTTGAAATTATTGTATAACCATCCTTGATAACACCTTCTTGCCTCTCTCAACCCACCATCAGAAAAGCCGTGACACATTGGAACTGCCATGGGCCCATTGAACATTTTATTGTTTCATCCATGGGAAGAGAAGATCCTTCTCTCTCTCTTTTCAGCCTCTTTTGCTTTCATACTGTCTTTTCTTCAATTTAACCTTTGATTCCTACACTGTAGTATAAGCCAATATTCTCTTATAAAACCAGCAGATAGAGAAGAGTTTGTTCCCATCGCTGATTAATTCATTCAGATATTTGAGTGCCTACTTCATGGAGGAAATGCTCCAAATGCTGAGTGCCACTTCTTCTTGTCGACTTGAAGGGTGTCAGAAGCTGTCTCTCACAAGTTCTTCTCCAGCTTAACAATTTAGTCATTCCAGTCCTCACCTCCAGGTTGACAGTATTTCCCACTCTCCCTTTAAGTCATTTGACCAATAGGTATTTATTGGCTAATTGTATGTCCAGACTCTGCAACACTTTGAGAAATGCAGAAGTTGCCTGAGATAGTAACCATGGTTTTGTTGGGCACAGTCTTGTTAGGTGAGAAAGAGAAAATAAAAAATGCATACAACAGCACAGAACAGAACTTTAAACAAAGTTCTAAACCGCATGCAAAGAACTAAACCGCATGCGTCTGTCTCCTTCTTAAGAGAAGGAAAAGAGGGTCCCAGAGTTGCAGGGAGGGTAGGATAGATCCTGACGTCACTGAGCTAGGGACATTATGAATGATAACAAAAAATGCCATATCTCTATTTCCAATCAAATAAATGGATCTGGTTATTAAATTCAAAACCAATGACATGAGGAAGCAGTGCATCTGATAAGATGCTTTGAATACCCTTGCGGTTGATTTGCAGTTGTGGCATCAGAACTGGGAGGAACTAGACCTTTTGCCTGTTGTCTACCTGGTGAACCCCATTAAAAGACAATAGAAGGGTCGCTGCCCACTGGATTCCAAGGGCCTGGAGAACTTGAGATTTGATTCTTATGGTGGCCTTGTCCTTAACAAGGTGACTCCCATACCCATATCTCAGTCCAGACTTTCTGTTCCTCCTTCCCAGTTCCATGAAAACGCATGATCAGCTATAGCTAGATTTGAAGAGTGGATGGTCATTGCCAATTAAATAAAATAATGTCTGGAAGGAAGGGTCAGTTAAGGGCCATTCAAGGGGGGACATGTTTTATGTTAGTGCCTGCAGCTCATTTGACTAATGGCCTGGCACTCATCTTTTTTCCCTACGCCATGTCTCATCAGCAAATTATCTCCAATGTGCTATAAATCAGAGGCATCATATTATAAAGAAAGAGGATGAGCTTTGAGATAATATAATTTTGGATTTAAATCCCAAATACATGTACTACCTGTGTGATCTGGAAAATGATAACTTCCGTAACCCTCAATTTTTCCAACCATAAACTGGAGCTACTTTCTATTTCATGATGGAGTTGTGAAGATTAAATAAGAAAAACTGTATAGAGCAGAAATCCTTGTGCTGGGCACCCACGGGGTCGATCTCCAGTGCATTATAATGCCCTCCCTTCTTCCATAGTATGTGCTGTGGCTGGCCATGGGGAGATGCAAATGCAAAGGGAGCAGGACTGGGATTGGGGAGTCCCTTTTTCATGTTTCTGTTCTTGTAGTTGCCTACCTGAAGTGCCCCGATCTGCCCCTTTTCCATTTTCAAAGCTCAGTTCAGACTCTGCCTTATTTCGGCAGCTCCACCCTGACCTTTCCTGCCCCATGTCCACAGTTCGACACTTACACTCTACTGCACTCTGCTCGCACTGACAGATACTTCTTATCCTTTGGCCGACTTGTAGGTTCCTTGAAAGCAGGGACTAAAGTCTCATAATGTTTGGCCCTTAGTGTCTCTAGTCAAACACCCTCATGGCTGATTGTTGGGCTGTGTCATTACCAACAGAGGGACAAACTGGCTCTCTGTCAGAATGGCGCCACCTTCTCACGGGACCTTCTGCATCGAGAGCCGCCCTCGGGCCTGGGTGTGGGGAGAAAGGCTCAGCTTTTACATTCTCCACCCCCTTTCTGCTCTGCCCAGCGTTAACACCACTTTCCCCATCATTTTTGGCAAAGTCGTTTAGAGAACCTAAAAAAGCCCAGTTGAGCTTTTCTGAAGGCTGGAGGCCTAGAGCCCAGCATGACTCCCTTCTCTTTCTTGAACCAAACAAAATATTGTTATAGCAAACATGAAATCTTTCCTATTTTTCACTACGGCTCTCCAGGCCTAACAAAGCTAGCAGTCACATTCCTTGAATCAAAATAAGCATCTGCCCTTTTTCTTTACCCTACACTTTTTCAGCATTTTTGACAAAAATAGTATTATTATTTTATTAATTAATCGTATGAGTCTATTAGTGCTTTCTGGAGAGGATGCAAAAATATTAAAACCTTACCTTTACCCTTTGATATTGATTAAACACAGAGATACAAGAACATATATAAACTTGACTTTTCTGTTTTAATATTGTGCATGATAATTTGATGCATAAGCTATGGATACCTAAATAGTATATAGGATCAAAGACATATCATAAAGGGAAACTGAGGCACACATCACTGGGAAGAGAAAAGGGTCGTTTTTACTGGTCTGATTAACAAAACAGAAGGAGGAGGGGAAGGGGAATGGGAAAGGGAAAAGGAAGGAGCCCTCCCAGATGAAATGGGCCTTTCCCTGTCCCTTTAGCTTGTGGTATCACAGACTACTTTGATAGTAGAAAGAAAGTCAGGGACTCCCTAAGAAAGTGTATACTTCTATAGACTCATGTGTAGTTGTACTAACAATTTCAGAGAGTCTGGATCTGCTAAAGTCCATCCATGGACCATGATCCTTAATTTAAGATCTTAAGAAGCATTAGGCACACTTATGAGAAAGGTAGTAGGCGGTAGAGAGGGGCGATGCAGTCAGAGATGTGGCTGCCACGAGGTGAGAAGGTCTTGGAATCAAGGTTCCTGGCCTCAAAACTCTTACTTTTTGCGATTCTGCTTCTTTAGCTCTGGATCTAGATTATAGAAAGTCCATTGCTGATCATTCGTCCTGGAGATATTCTATGCAAATTTGGAGAAGTCTCACTAAGGGAAATTCCTTTGCTCTTTTCCAGCTCCTCACAGCCAGTGACCTTGCAGCCAGCGACCTCAAAGGATTTCAGCCACAGGTAAGTTCCACTGTCCCTTTTATGAAGTTCGGGAGGGTGAAATGTTCCAGAGTTTGGTCATGAGCAAACAAAGTTGGCACCTGGACAGAAACCCCACCTTGGATTTCCAGTTTCTCTGACTCTAGGTGCCAACCTTGACAGTAACCTGGTAGCTTGCCCTCTCCCTTCAGCTCCTCTCTCATCTCATCAGGATCAAAACAACCTATTCCTTCTCTCTCTCTCAATATTTTATAGTGGGTAAAACATAGACCAAGATGCCTGGAATGTGTGGTGATGGGCGGTGACTTTGCTTAGAAAAAGATTAAACAGAGGAGGTAGAGGGTGAGGTGGGCAGGGGTATTTCCCTGCATTTCTCCTTTTTGGGACAGGATGGTCACATTTATGTAATCTGTGTGTGCACATGCCTTGCAGTCATTGGTCTGGCATCTCAGGTCATCTCGGACTCCTGCTCATCTTGGTTAGTTTTGCTGATCTTAGTTAGAGAATGAACCACTATTCTTTCTGGCCAGAATGCTGTTTGGAGGTCACCATGAGCAAACTACAAGAGGGCACAAGCAAAGGCTCTCTGGGGACCTTCTTGACAGCATGGAAGATGGACAGTCACCCTCCCTGTCTCTAGAAGGGGACTTACTGTCTACACACAAACAGATAAGCAGCAACACACATTCACACTGGACACACAGAAGTCCTTGTGTTCCTCTTGGACCCAGCGCAGACAGAGCACGTGTGTCAAGAGAGATAAACCCTAGAGTGAGAGCTGTGGCCCTCTATAGAGACAAGGGCAGAGAGTGGGAAGTGAGAAGCCCCAAGGAGAGAATGAACAGAACAGCGAGCCCCATGGATGAGTCAAAGGTAAATCCTTGCACCGTTTGGGGTATTTCGATCACAGCTTGCTGATCCTTCTGTCAGGGATTCAATGAGGCTTTAGAATAGGTAATCAGTAAGCTTGTTTGACAACTACAGAAAACTGCTAATTAATTAAAGTACTTATTCACATATTCACATAAACTTCCAGGGGAGCTCAGGGAATGTCAAACAAAAACAAAAGAAAATCAACATTTATCCGTATACCACCCACCTCTACTCCTACCTCACACAAAGTAGCGTTCCAGCTAAAGGTTTATTTTTGTCTGAAAATTTATAAAAGCAAAGGGGAAAATGCTTTGTGTGATGTTGTTTTGAGGCTTAAAAAGGAGACTGAGTTTATGGAAGGTGTGTATGTGTGGTTTGGCATCGTTGCTTTCTGAGATAATCATATTTTCTCCATGTTTGTCGAGCCACATTTCTAGATTAGATTTAAACTGAATTATTAAGAGAAGTGAAAGTCAGATATATTTGGCTGCATCCATAACATGTGAGGCCATGATCCAAGAAAGGCAGTGTCCCTGCTCCCCCCACACAAGCCCACAGTTGCTGGTACAGATGGCTCACTCCCCTGGTTCTGTCTGACCTTTCCACATTATTCCATTTGTGTGTCATCCCCCCGGGGCTAGAAGCATAAATCCATATTTTTCACTCCTCAGGATGCGTGTTCCTGAGGCCAGGAAGCCCTGGGAATGTTGTGGCCAGTGTGTAATGCCCAGATCAAAATTAATTCCTGCATCAGAAAGGCCCGGATGTGCCTCAAGTCACTACCACCCTTTGGGTGCTTTTCCAAACAGAAACAAGGCTGCCCATGTGCTTTGGGCTGCCCCCACCTCCCAGCCCCAATACACCAAATTATTGGCTTCTGCTGTTATTTTCTCCTCTCTTTGGGTTTCAGATGAAACTGGGTCCCGCACATCCTGATGTTCACAGTAATTCATAGGTTTGTTCCCTTCCAGAAACTGTCAATGACTTTCAGGAGAGGAATTCACTGAGGACCCCTCTCTGGGGTAACTGTAATCAGCTCTGTCAGCTTTCACACAGTCCACACTTATCACTTGCCAGTAAAAGGCTTTTTTTTTCCTTGACGCCTGATCCTGCTGCAACCTCTTAGGGAAAATTGTCATGATTTCCTCACTAATCTTTGATGACTCTCAGCTTTGAAAATGTGGACAAGGGCAACTCAATTGGGCTAGACTGGTCGGTCTCTTTGTCTCTGTCTCCCTTCAGCTTCCAGATAGAAAGAAGGAGGGTAAGGAAGGGACTGACAGCCTTTCTCGCCGTGATTATTGGTTTGCAAGGATACCATGCTCATTCGTGGAAATAAACACATTGCTATCCCGGCACAGTCTGATGGCTGATGGAGTCTGAGGTTGTAGTTTGCTCTGGGAGTTCTTCCCAGTTGTGAGCTTGGCCTCTGGACCACAGAGGGTAGAACCATCTCCCAAAGTCAGGCCTGGGACTGACAGGTGGCTAGTTTCAAAGGCACAAATGAAAAATTTTGAAGAAGCAGACACACTTGAAACCTTCCTTTCTGGTCTTGTGATGACTGGAAATGACTACCCTCATCTCCCTTTGCGGACCATCTCTCTCCACCCCTAAAAGGAGTAAAAGCAGGCATCTCATTTCGTTTCATGGAAGCCTAACAATCATATTCTTTCCTCTCCATGTTTCTTTTTATCCTGTTTCCCCCCTCATTATAAAAGCTATCCATGTTCACTGTAGAAATTCAGAATGGGTGAAGGTGGTCAAAAGTACAAACCTCCAGTTATAAAATAAGTAAGTCTTGGGCATGTACATCATGGTGACTTTAGTTAATAATACTTTATTGTATATTTCTATAGTTAATAATACTGTATTGTATATTTCTGCAGTTAATAGTACTATATTGTATATTTGGCAGTTGCTATGAAAATAGATCTTAAAAGTTCTCATCACAAGAAAAATAATTTGTAACTGTGGTGAGGGATATTAATTATAAAAAAAGTTAAAGAAACTTAGAAAATACAAAATAAAAATCTCATGTTGATGCACCACGGAAATATAGATAATGACATTTTGGGGTGTGGTCTTGCAATCTTTGATGTACACAGACATACGGGTGGATGGATCTTTAAAAAATTGACATCATATTTTATATGCTTTTTTTGTTACCTTCTTTCTTGTTTGTTTGCATGCTTCCCATGTCACTGGAAAATCTTCCAGCAGCTGGCTATTTTTGTCCGGTTGCTAGTACCATCATTTATTTACGACTCCCCTCTTGTTAGACATTCCATTCCTTTTGCAGGCTGAGCTCTGCAGGAGCGATCCAAGGCAAATGCTAGATCCAGGGCCCAAATAACATCTAGGACACAAATAGCATCCCGGGCTTCTTGGCATTTATTTCTTCTTTGTTTCTTAGTTCCTACAGGGATGTGAGAGTTGCTTAAACTTTGCAGGAGCGCGTCCATGTGAGTGTGCCCCTGGACATTTGTACACATGCTTTACAAGGGCCCCAGTGGGGATGTGGTGAGGAAATAACCATGTGGGGCCCCAACTCAGATGCAAGTTTCACGTGCCCAGCCACCATGGGAAAGCTACCTTGCAAACACCCATCCCCTGCTCACTGAAAGACTCGGTCCTCTCCTACTTTCTGAACTCTCCATTGTCTCCGCGGAGAATAGGATACTTTTAGGAGAAATTAAGTGGTACTTCACGTGTGCCTCATGTTGGGATTTTAAGGGGAGAAGTGTAATAGATATCCTATAAAGGAATTTCTAAAATGCCCAGCGCTGTGATGGCCAAGGGTACATTGTAGTAAAGGTGGAAGGGATGCCCAGGAAAGCATGTGCCAGTGGGGAGGAAACAGGGCTTTCAGTCACTGGGCCACCGTTTCACTCTGAGGCTTGTGGGGAGGCCTTTCTGTGGGGCTTCCTGCTGTGCACACTCTTCCCGGAATTTGACTGTTCTGGAATGTTCTGCCACTGATGCTAGCTTTGAGACCCAGGGAACATTACTTAATGTCTAATCCTCTTTCCCCTTATTAAACAAAAAAGATGTGAAGATTATTTCACAGATGATTACCAGGCATCAAATAGGACAATGTGTATGAGAACAGCCCAGCACAGTTCCTGCCGCATGCAGTGAGTTTAATTTCTTTTTCCATTGGCGATGTAGAGGTTAAAACAGAGAAAGTGTACCTATATAGCGCAAGTAGGGAAGTCTTCCAGGTGGAAGTGCCATTGAACCTGGGCCACGGTAGGTGAGAAGGAAGTGAGGTAATGAACCTACTCTAGGGCAGAGGCAGCCTGGATGAAGGCCAAAACAAGGGTGGCGATGCTTGGATGTATTCTGGAGACTTGCAGTGGTTTAATTAATCTGGTTCAGAGGTAGTATGGTGGGATTTTAGTTTGCAAATTAGGTTGGGGCCAAATTGCAGCAGGTTTTAAAACTCTGGGGGAAAAAGTCCAACTTTTTTTTTAAATTAGCTATTATTAACATTTTCAACCTTATACAAAAGTAGACATAATAGAATAAATCACTTTCCATATATTATCCAACTTCCATTATTTATTATCCAACTTCAATGGTATGATGCTAAAAAAAAAGCCCAGACTCATATCATTGGCCCATTTCTGTGGTGTAAATATCTCCACCTTGACCAGTTTTAAGCTGCCAATGGTTTAACAACCTGTTTGCAAAGTCTTTGACTATCAGCTTTCCAGATTGGCCCTGAGCACACCACTGGGCTAGCCTCAGTAATCATTATCATTTGCCAATCTTACTTCATGAACACTCCCAGCTACTTTTGCTTTTGATTTTAATTTTGGGGGTATGTTTTAAAAATCCCACTCCTCACACTATTTCACTCATAAATACTTCAATAAGCTTCACTAATAAATAAGAGCTTTCTAAAAAATGCAATCACAGTGCCATTATCACACCTACCAAAATTAGCAACAATTCCTTAATATTGTCTGATACCAAGTCCATATTCATATTTCTCTGATTATAGCAACATGTCATTTTAGTTGATTTGTTTGAATCAAGATTGAGTTTAGAATTTGACATCTATCTGAAGACAATGGGAGCCTTTGCAGGTCTGAGGGTGGGAAAGAGCCAGAACTGTGATGCAAGGAGATTATGCCATAGGTAGT